GATGTTAGTAATGTATGGCAATCGCTTCTTTGATTTTAAAGAACATTACATAAATAAACATAACATACGTAAAATTTAAAAATAATCATACAGAAAGTTTGGGCTTTTTGGTTTTACCTTATTAAGTAATTATCAGGTAGTAATTGTTAATTCTGAAGTTTAACTTAATATAATGTCATTTTAACAGAACGTCAACGATTTCTTGTAGACGTATCTGTTTTAAAAAGTAAAGTGTTCTCGAATAGTTCAATTTAAATAGTTTTTTTTGATTCTTTATATTTTCTTGCTTCCGACGACGGAAAGAGAAAACTTTCCGAAACGATAAGCATTTTTTTCTTTCTTAGGCAAATTTTTATTACTGTAAACACAACTTCTGACAAGCAGCGTCCGTTTAGGTTTAACGCCAGAAGTGTTTACAAAAAATAACTATTTTATTTTGTAGATTTTCTTGCAGTGCAGTGGCGAAAAACCCATAAGGATTTTTTTGGATATCTAAAATATAATTTTTCTTCGTTTTGTTAAATGGAACATCCTGTATATTATTTTGTTGTTAGATGGAGAATTATTAAAAAATGAACATTTTTTGAATTTAAAATTTAAAGTACTTCGAAATTTTTAACAGTTTTGCGAATATTTGTGGTATTATATTTCACATGGGTTTTTCAACAGTAATTTATTATCAAAGCCACCCGATTTTTGTCTGGTATTTTACCGTTGAGAGAGCCATATATAATAAAACTGCGAATATTTACAAAATCGCAAATATTTTTCAAGTACTCCATCTAACAAAGAAATAATATACAGGATGTTCCATTTAAAAATAAACAATGAAAAATTATTTTGTATTTCACAAAGTTTGGCATAGAATTTTGAAAACCCTGTGTAGTTTAGGATTACAATATTTATGGCAAAGTAAGTACAGACTAACTATAGTAAATACATGGTATAATTTTGATTTTAGGACATTTCTTGTATTTTAATATTTTTTTTAAGAAGTCTGAATTTAATTTGTCTGAGTTTTTTTTATTAATATCTCTGAAACTGTCAAAACATTTGAATCTTCATCTCTGAAACTGTCAAAACATCAACATCATATCTTAGGATTATATAAAGTAATCAGAAAAAAAACTAAAAGTGCAATGATATACAGGGTGTTCCATTTAAAAAATCATCCCAATCCACTCACACTTTTTTGAACCACCCTGTAGAAGTTAAAACATTTTCCTGAAGTACATCCTAATACATACTTTAGGTTTGCACTTAAACAAAATGCCTAAGTTTTTTTTATTATAAGAGCTACCTAATGATTGCCAGATACTGTAGAAATTTATTAATTTATTGGTGAGTGAAATGTGTCTATTAATACCATACTATTGAAAAAAAAAGCGGCGTCAATGACGGCCGGGGAATGACAATAGACGATGATTTTGAGGAGGTCAAGCTCTAGACATCATTACTTGGCCCATTAGCATCTTTGTGTTTTAATGGCACTTACTGCCAGTTGGCTTACAAAGGTTGTAGGTATACTGAGTAAAAATTACGAGAAAAATAATTTTTAAATGGTGTTTAAAATTAGACAAAAAATCATTTTTTGCAAATATTTTTGTGTCTGGATATGTTCCATCATTTTTTAATCTTTCTATAATTAATGTTAATTTTTTACAAGTTTTATGTCAATTTTTAGTAAAAGACGTCTAAAAATTGACTTCACAAAAATTATCATCGATTGTAGTTTGTAATCAGCCATCTTTGATCACCATTTTTGATCATACAGTATATTATGACCTGTCCCATGTTTTAAGCTACACGCACACTGGTTCGATCACGTCCGCGATCACGATCACGATCAGGGCAGCGATAACATGAGCTATCATTCTAGCACACACCAACGCGTTCACGTTCACCGCTGTACCTATATTTAGTGAGCTATCCTGTAGGTATACATAGGTACAAATTAAAAATGTGAATTATGTATACCGAAAAAACATTCTTAAATATTTACCTACAATATTTAAGCTTAAACAATAAAAATATATACATATGTACAGAGGGGTGGGTCAAATTCGACGCTTTTAAATGGAAACACCCTTTTCTATATGAGATAGACGAAAACTAATATCGGTGTCTGGAGCTCAATTTTCATCAAAAACATGATGGTGAAAACCGCACATCAATATCTGTTACCGTTTCGGGTTACGGGGTGTTTTTCAAAAATGTGCATTTTAACAAATCGCTGTAACTCTTTTTTCTATGGAAAATTTTGTATTTCTATGAAAACATTTCCAAAAGCACCTTTTACGTAAATTTAATTGTTTCAGTATAATTTTTTTAAAATTAATAATTTAAGAGTTATCAACAGAAAATTGATTTTTTATATGGGACACCCTGTATATTTTTAATTTATTGAAAAGAATTTAAAATTACCTTTCCAAAAATATAACACTTGATATTTTGCTCGATCCCTCTTCGAGATATAGAGTATATAAAAATTCGCCCGCTTTAAATAAGTAGGCTTTGAACGGCACCGGCTGTAATGTAAAAAAAATCTAGCTGTGAGCATCAATTAAAACGAAAATAATATTTGCTATGAGAGACGCAGAATTTTATAACAATTTAAAATATATTTAACCAACATCAACACATTTAAACTAGGTATATCTAATAACAATAAAAATAAATAGCAAACCAGGACATAAGATTTTGCTACAGGTGTTCAACATATCGACCGTCTCCTGTTATGGACAGACGGGGCAGTTTTTGAACATTTCTCGCGGAATTCATTAACTCAGTAGGGGTGAAAGATACCTTCTCATAACTGCTAAGTATTTCTAATTCTTGTCTAGATTATACAGATGAATAAGGAACCTTTATTCTTCCGCAAATATGTCCATAGGATTAGATCCATGGGCACTAAGTCAGGCGGCCTCGACGGCCAACGGCTGGGTGCTTGGTCAGCTATTCAATTATTCTTGAAATTGGCTGCAGAAATTTGCCGATAACTTCAGCGTTCAGAAGCGGTGCGTCGTCTTGCTGGAAAAATATGTTTTCGAGTTCCATTAAGGGCATATCATCAATGAGGGGTCCAAAGCCTACTAGTTAAAAGTGGCGAACTTTTAAAAATTCTGTATTTCGAAGGGATTATAACAAAATATCAAGTGTGCTATATATTTTTGGAAAGGTAATTTTAAATTCTTTTCAGTTAATTAAAAATATACAGGGTGTCCCATATAAAAAATCAAATTTTCTGTTGATAATTCTTAAATTATTAATTTTAAAAATTATACTTAAACCATTAAATTCTACGTAAAAAGTGCTTTGGAAATGTTTTCATAAAAATACAAAATTTTCCATAGCAAAAAAGTTACAGCGATTTGTTAAAAATGAATATTTTTGAAAAACACCCCATAACTCCAAAACGGTAACAGATATCGTTGTGCGGTTTTCACCATCATGTTTTTGACAAAAATTGAACTCCAGACACCGATATTAGTTTTTGTCTATCTCCTATAGAAAAGGATGTTTCCGTTTAAAAGCGTCGAATTTGACCCACCCTGTACTCTCCAATCCAATTGCAACTCCAATTTTGTCTCAAACTTTTTATTTTTAATTCTATTATTTTTGTAATTTTGATCGGATAAATCATATAGAATTTTGTGTATTTTTACAGCCTTAATTAGCTGCTCTGTTCACTCCATTTCTAAATTGAAAGCTAAATTGCAACAAGAAAAACACACAAAATTACGGAAAATTCCTATCAGTTGGGTCGCGATCACGCGATCAAACTCGACAAGTTGAATCTGATCGCCACCGCAGAATAGAACGCCGCCAGGCCGCTTCGTCTCCAAAACTCGATCGCGCCAATGTGAAACGGCTTATATGTATTCTTCAGCAACTTTTGGCCGCGGCCGCGTCGAGATCGTGATCGCGGCCGTGATCGCACCAGTGTGCGTACAGCTTTAAGACAAATTTGGAGTAATACGACGAATATACCACGAAGTAATACAGACAACGTTCGTCCAACGAGAGGATACATGACAGTGACAGTCATTTTGACAGATCTGTCATTTTAACATATAAATTGAATCCTCTGGTATTTTTTGGATGTTGCCTGTAAAGATCCATAGATAAATGCAACAAGTTTAGATTGGAAAGCCCGTAAAAATTTTAGGTCGCGAAATTATTTTGGGTCGCGACCGTTATATGCGATCTGGCGCTGCTATAGCGGTCGCTAAGAACAACGGCAAACAAAAACCATAGATAAAGGCAACAAGTTTAGATTGGAAAGCCCGTAAAAATTTTGGGTCGCGAAATTATTTTGGGTCGCGACCGTTATACGCGATCTGGCGCTGCTATAGCGGTCGCTAAGAACAACGGCAAACAAAAACAGAAATAATTTTCTCTTGTCAAAGTCAGAATCTTCAAAAATCATAATAATCTTTGAAAATCTAAACCGCTCTCATTAAAGAAATTCCGAAAAGTGTTTATAGCGTCCATTTTCAAAGTAATTATTGCTATATTGTGAGTTTAATTCAAGTTTTATTTACTCCAACCGGTGATAATTGTGAAAAAGTGGCATTAAAAACTTAAAAAGCTGTGCTGTGAACTGTGAACTGCAAAAACCATCGTGGATCGTGGCATAACCATAAAAAGAAAATAATCTTCTATTAAGATAGATATGAAACTTAATAGTAAAATTTTGGGTCAAAGCGCCCCTCCGTGTTCTTAGTAGAGACTACGTTTAACCCAGCGCCTTCGCCTTTTCTGCTGTAAATATTTTTTATGTTAATATTTGATTTCAAAGGATTTAGTTTTAAAGTTACACTGATATATTAGTATATCAGAGTAGCTTTAATAAAACATAAGAATATATATATATTTTACAGTTTATTAAATATAAATTTTGACTACAAGGTATAAAGTAAATCACAATATTTGATAAAATTTATAAGTATACCATTTTTACAGTTAATAAATAATAAAACTATTTCTGACTATGATATTTAAAATTTAGATAGATAGAATATTAAAAAACATACCGGTATTTGCAGACGCAGGCCCTAATTCAATAAAAACCAAAATTTTTCCTGCGAAAATCGGGCTTTTTTCACAGAAAAGGTATTTTTTGATTTATCAACAATCATTGTTAAGTTGACAATATACGGGGTGTTTTCTAATTAGTCTAAAAAATAGTGGTGTGATTCCTCATGTGTTCTTAAAACAATTTTTATATAACCATTAGGTCCAAAGTATTTCCTTTCTGATCTACAGGGTGTCAAAAATTTAAAAAAAATCGATATTTTGCTTTAAAAAAATGGTACACTACTTAAAGAAAATATATTTTTTTCTTGACTGGCCATCCTTTTTCAACAAAATTGATCTTTTGAGTTTTTCTTGTTCATCAAACGGTTGCCGAAAAAAAAATAAATATACTTATTAAGAGCCCGCCTTAAGCCGTTTTCTAACGATTTTTTATTTTTTAGATTAATTAGGAAACACCCTGTATATGCATATCACAGGCAACCAAATAAACTAGTAACCTCTAAAAATTATTTTTTCTACCTCTAGCGCCATACCGTGTTTTTAGTGAGTACTAAATTATTTTATCAAAATTTCACCATATAAGTTTCCAGGCAATGGGCATAACGTCGGTTTCCAATGTTTCATAGGTATTTCATACATGCGTCCTTATATAAAATAAAGTTTCTTGTATGCAACATACTGTATTTTATTTATAAAATTAAACGAAAATAATAATAAATTCGAATAAACAATATTTGGCGATATAATTCCGGAAAAAGCCGAACCGCTCGGAAATTTTCAAAAGTTTTGGGTCGCGACCGTTGCAAGAATAGCGCCAAATAGTGTTTATATTGTCCTTATGGGCACTTTCCAATCTAAACTTGTTTCATTTATCTATGACAAAAACAGAAATAATTTTCCCTTGTCAAAGTCAGAATCTTGAAAAATCATAAAATCTTTCAAAATCTAAACCGCTCTCATTAAAGAAATTCCGAAAAGTGTTTATAGCGTCCATTTTCAAAGTAATTATTGCTATCTTGTGAGTTTAATTCAAGTTTTATTTACTCCAACCGGTGATAATTGTGAAAAAGCGGCATTAAAAACTTAAAAAGCTGTGCTGTGAACTGCAAAAACCATCGTGGATCGTGGCATAACGTCGATTTCCAATGTTTGATAGGTATTTTATACATGTCTTTATGTAAAATAAAGTTTGTTGTATGCAACACACTGTATTTTATTTATAAAATTAAAAGAAAATAATAATAAATTTGAATAAACAATATTTGCCGATATAATTCCGGAAAAAGCCGAACATGAGCCGAACCGCTCCGAAATTTTCAAGTTTTGGGTCACGACCGTTGCAAGAATAGCGCCAAATAGTGTTTACATTGTCCTTATGGGCACTAAACCAATCTAAACTTGTTTCATTTATCTATGTAAAGATCTTTAACTTTTGACTTAAATGATTTTACCACTTTCAAATTTGTATTTTCTTCAAATACTCTCAATAGTTCTTCTTGGCTCTGCTGTGTTACTAATACACTTTCTGCAGAAGTTATACATCCTGAACAGGCAAGGCAATCAGCTAATGTAATTTCAACTTTCTGAAGCTTTTGAAAACTCCCATCCTTAAAAAATATACACACTTAATTATACTACACAATATTATAGTTTTCATCAATATACTTCTTCAATTTGAAAATAAGAGCCATCTTCTTGAATTTTTATTTTAGATCCAGTTCCAGACGTTTTGACTTTTTGGATTTCTACAGGCTTAATGCACTCCTAGAATTGTAAAATAATAATAATATATGTCTTGATTAAAATATGATATAAGGTTGCAAAAGGGCAAAGTTTAGCTTATACTCTATCATTTATATCTGTCCAACAAAGGAAAAAGAATATATAACCAGAGATAAAGACTCTGCTAAGTTGAAAGTGATAGTGTTTTTACAAATCAATTTTTGGATATTGCTTGTTGAAATTATTGTCCGTTCTCTATTGAATAGATCGACTTACAATTTACAAAATAACATCTTACCTGAGAAGGTGTAATAAAATCATCTAGATCAGTTAATTGTAAAACCCCACTGAATCTGGACATTTTGACTAAATTTATTTATATAATTACGTTCTTTCTAGAGAAATCCAACAAATTTTTAACCAATATTTTGCAAAAATGTATTTATTTCTTGTTTAGGCACACTCTCGTTTTTTGTTAAAAAAAACGAACTTTCTCTAATAAAACTGTGAATTAGAATTAACTTTTTAACATTGATTATTGCAAGAATATACTCAAAAACGTATTATTCTGGTATTATTTTTGTTGCAATTAGAAATTTTTATAACCTCTAAAATAATTAAAAAATAAACATCCATCTTATGCAACCAAATATTCAGTCAGTCACATAATTGGGAAAAGAACATGCAACCAGACATACAACTAATATTCCCCATTTAAGATTTTCGGCCAGCTTCCAGCAGCAGACAAGGGCACGGACAAAGGCTTCCAGCTTCTGCTTAGGAAAACGTCTCATGCCGGCGACTTAAATGTAAAAAAAAACATTTTCATTCAAAAAAATTGCATATTTTCAATATTTTTATTGCGAAAAAACTAATAGTCGTGTGTCTGGGGTCGAAATATACTACCCCTATAATAATATAAATTATATAATATAATAAAAATAATAATTTATTTTCCATTATAAAAATAATATTTGCATTTATTTAAGACTCACCATGTATAATATAACTGCATATATTGTTTCCGATGGCGATTACATCGATATACAATATGATCGAAAAAAGAGGCGCCAGCGATGGTTATGACATGAAGATGGCTATCATTTTAATGATAAATTAATATGTAAAATTATATGGTGAATGCCATCGATCATAATTTCCAAGCCAACTGGACCTGGTTTTTTTATCATACGGTATATCAAGCATAGAGTACGTAATTAAATAACTGATAGAAAGTTTAATAAGTATTCACTTTCAAGGAGTTTCAAGGAGTTCACCATGCAGAAGCGAAAAATTTGAGCGCCAAAGCATGCGTCGGTTAAATAAGCATCGTAAAGACTAAAACCAGACTAAAACAGACTAAAATATTCAACTGAGAAACTGAAAAATGTTGTATTAAGCTAAATTGTTATTGCGGTCAGATTTTTAACTTAGCTGTCTCTTAGGTGTGTATGTATCTACCTACCATTTAGCTATCTTTTATATTAAATTTGTTATACCTTAATCCTTAATCTCTTTAATTCTAATTTAATGCAAACATATTCTTTATTCTTTATTTAAAAAAGTTTATGTAAAGACGCGTGTTTAAAATCGCGGTTGTTATATCGAGATAACATTTTTGTAAACTATAAAAGATAATTTTGATATCTGTATGGGAGAAACTGTTATTCAAATAAATAAAAAGGTAGGTAACCACAAAGATTATTTCATAATGGAAAATAAATTCTTATTCAAAATTATGATTTCAGTATTTACCAAATTTTACAGGCATTCAAAGTTTCTTAGAGTTTAATTGAATCAGAATAAAATCAACGGCAAGGCACATACAATTTATTGGCTAGAACACAATTTTTTTTGAGTTTTTTCGAACAAACAACACGAGGGATTACTCAAACGACCATCCGTTTAATTAGAAATTTGATGTAGGTATGTTACTTGTCTTATTAATTTTAATTTTCTCAAGTATGACAGTAAATTTACCTATACCGGGTGCGTCTCAAAAAAGATGGCTCACCCCTATAACTTTTTTTATTTTTTCAGATTAAAAACAACGAGATTTGGTATGTGACGAGAATATTGACATAAAATTGGATTGATTGACATATTCAATTGTTTCTGTCACTTCCTGTTCACCGGAAATAACCTACAAACTTTTTTGAATTTTTTTAAATAGCCCCTCTGTATTTTTACTTTATTCGATAGAAAATGACACTCTGAATAGAATGACATTATTTATATGTAACTTTTGACATTTTCGCATAATGTATGAAATTGTAACATGCGGTCATAACGACCTAATTTGACTCGAAAATACCAAGGTGTGGTATTCAAATTATTCGTGAAAAAAAAATGCTTTTTTCAAAATATCTTTTTTGGAATATTTGCTAATGCAAGCCACCCTCGTTCCATTTGAAAAAAAAAAATTGAGTATTATTAAAAATACGTTTGGGGCATCTAGTAACTATCCAGCAAAAGCCACAGAAAACATACATGAAAAAAAAAAAAAAAAAAAAAAAAGTATTTTTTTAATATAATTTTTTTTTTTTTTTTTTTTTTTTTTTTTCATTATTTTAGAATTTTCGTATTTTTGAAAAAAACTTCTTATGAAATGTTGACATGATAATATATCTGTCAATTTTAAAATAAAAAAAAAAAAAAATATTATTAAATTTGATTAAAAAAAAAAAAAAAAAAAAAAAAAAAATATATTAGTTAAAAAACTGCATTGGTACTCCGAAGAAATTAGCTAATGTGTTTTCAACTGTTTTTCTTCATGGTAATTCTAGTTTTAACTTCTCTGGTACCATAGAAAAAAATCAAAAAGGACCTTGATGTAATTAAGAACTGCTCAATCTAAAATCACCAATGGAAGCATAAATTACAAAATTGCTCCAAATTGCTCAAAAAATGATATAGGTTTAAATTATTAGCCTTTTTTCTTCATAACTACGAATTTTTATGACCAACATTAACCCACAAATACCCTTTAGGTTGCCAAACTCTCCCGAAAACCATTGACTTTAGTTTCCCAAAATTAAAATTACTATGACAGTATATTACTGGGTGTTTCTTAGGTGCTGTAAAATATTGTTGATTGGTTATTTTTAATTAGTTTTTAAAAAGGGGAAACTGTAATATATTTTCTCGTATTCAAATTTTAATTTTTTTTTTTTTTTTTTTTAATTTAAAATAGATTTTTTAATGTGTAATTTTAACTAGCTTATTCCCAGTTTAAGCCTTAGTTTTTACGTGGCTTATAGACATTAAATAATATTATTAGAAATCTCATTCATTTTGAATAATTATTGTTAATAATAAACTACAAAAGACGTGTTAATGTGTTTATGATGCGTCAATATTCAGTCAACTACTTTTATCAAGAATGTCATGCACCTTCTAGATACTAATTTTCTCGGATATAGTAAGAAATCACCAAGACGTATCCTGTTCAGTAAAATGGAGAAACAGCATCTCTGAGGCTCTCCAAAAATATTAATTATTCATTTTTATCCATTTTTGCTAAATCCAATTAAATATATTATTCATCTTATCTAGAAGCTAGGATAATTTTTAGTTTCTTTTTCTTTCGTATTAAATTCTTGTAATTAAGTTATAATCTAACTATAATATTTTTACCACAGGTAATTACAGAATATTTCTAAATTATAAGAAATTTTTAAAAAATATAACTAAAATTAAAATGGTTGTAAGTGAACAAATGCTTACATCTAATGCGAAAAGAGCGCTCAGTCTTTTAGATGTTTTTTGGTGTTTACTCTATATATTAGTAAGCTTAACTAAGATAAAATATACAGATGTACTTAGCTGTCTTTTTTTTCTCATGGAAATGAATTGTAAATATCTTTTTTAAGTGGAATTTTTAACTAATAGTTATTTGGTAACTAGTTTCTAAAAAAGGATTTATTATTAAAAACGAAATGGTAATTCTATTGTAAGGGGCTGAAAATAAAACCCTGTGTATTTACGTGTTTACACCTAAACTTTTTTTGAGTTTTTAAACTTTTACAAAGATAGAGAGTATTAAATTAATATGCTAATTAAAGACCAAAAATATGTTAATTAAATTTTTTACAACCCATTTTTTTTTTACAGCCAATTTAAGTACACTCTGTATACATAATTTAATTTTTCTGGAATCAAACTCACTTATATATTAGAAAACCACATTAACAAACAATAATTAAAAAAAATGTGAAAAAAAAAAAAAAAAAAAAAGAAATTATTTTTTGCCACTTTTCGCGTTTTCGGCATCACTGTGCGGCGGCGCCCAGGACAGATACTAAAAACATGCAGACCAATCCAAATCTATTTTCCAAGGCTCCTTTGATTAAAATATTAGTTTTTTTAAACACAGTCATGGCACTCTAGATTGAAAATTTTTGAAAATACCAATTTTTTTTAGCGAATAATGTCAAAAGTTGACATATTGATACGTCCACTCGATCAGAATTGTCATCATTTTCAATCGAAATAAAGTTAAAAAAAATGCCGATGGCGCCATTTATAAATCAAAAGGTGTAGTCACGGATTTTCCGCGTCATAACAGAAGTTGACCGAAAACAATTGGAATATGTCAATCAATTTCAAGTTCAATTTCATATACTAACGTACCAAATCTCAAAAAAATATTTTTATTCTAAAAAAAATAAAAAAGTTATAGGGGGTGAGCCACTTTTTGAGACGCACCCGGATACCGAATGATTGGTTGTCATATTCCAATTCACGAATATCAGTTGAGAGAGCAGATTATTTAACTGAATATGAGAACGGTGTTTTTTTTGTAATTATACAGAGGTGAGTCTTGAATAAGTGAAAATATGTTTCTTTTTTTTTTTTTTTTTTTATTTAAAAGAAAACATATGTGGGCGTACAGCGAAAATCACCAAGTCACATTTTTGTGAATTGGATTAAAACACCACTCCATTTCAACCAAAAATGTGACTTAGTGGATTTTCGCTGTACGCCCACGATATTTTCTCTTTAGCCCCGTATTCAAAAAAAGTCCAAAATAACCAAGTTATTTTACTTTGAAAATTAAAAAAAAAAATGAATTTTTTTTTGTTTTAGGATTTTGTTGAGAACCACTGGATATTTTCTGGGGTTTTCTTTTTTGTAAGTTTAATGAAGGGGGTTAATTACTAGATCTATATGTTTATTATTTATCAAGATATTATTGCTTTTTTAATCTAAAAATTTAAAAAAAATCTAATTTTTTTACACGAAAAAACCTCATAGATGTGGTTTCTGGTGTCGAAAATAACTACCTCTGAAAAATTTTGCTCTTATTTAAGATTCACCCTGTATATTAATAGAAAAAATTTAATGTCGTTACATTCTTCGCATCTGGGGACTCGTGACCATCTACATCTTGAGATGAAGTAACAGGAGCAGATGTAAATTTCTTATTCTTATAAAGCTGGGTTTTGGTCTTCTTATTACAAAAAAAAATTTTTAATATTTAAATTTAAGAATTGCATTAACATATATTATATGTTACCTGTTCGTTAACATGCTTTAACACACAATCTCTCTTCTTTT